GGCAGGAGGATCGTTGCGAGTTTGAGGCCAGCCTGGGCTACAAAGTGAGCTCAAGGCCAGCCTGAATTGCATAGCAAGACCTTGTCTCAAAAAGACCAAAAAAAAAAAAAAAAAGAAAGGAACAAAGGAGCAGGTCACTCCCTTTCCTTCATTCAACTGTAAATCTTACACCATCCCTGAGGGTTACACATCTTCTATAACCAGTCCTAAGACAGGGAAGCCACCTGCCTTCTCTCCATCCAACCATAAACACAGGCCACCCTAGTGATCAGTCAGTCAGGTTTAAGTTTATGGATCACGCACATTGCTGACATCAAAAAAGAGAGCCGGTGAGAGGCATCTAAGACCTCATAAATACCGGGAGCCTGAGCTGCAAAGGCCCTTTCTTGCCTGCTCTGCTCTTCTGCCTGTGCCTGCTGCCGCCCATGATCTTCAACAAACTTTTATATATTATGAGGTGTGCGCTTGGCAATTCTTTCATCACACTCAAGGACCTGGACCACGTTGGCCCAGTCACCTGTATCACCCTCATTCCCTTCGCTCCGAGGCTCCCTGGGGTCTGCAGGGTCAGGGAGTTGTTTCCCACCGCCTGGTCTTTGTTCTAGCGGAGCCCTCTGCCTGGATCGCGGTCCCTCCTCCTGGGTCTGGCAGACTCCAGCTCAGGCTTCGTGTGCCGCTCAGCTGTGGCTCTGGCCTTCCTCCCTGGAGCTCTCAGTACCATAGACAGCTAAGTCAGGTAGAAATATTGGAGGCAGTCAGACAGGGCTTGGCCTCTGAAGGAGTCAGCGCAGACGATGAGAGCACATCACAACTGTGGCTGGAGGCGCATGTATGGAAGGCCAGCCCTCAAGACAAAGACGGAGAGAATCATTCTTCCCCAGGGAGAAGCGATAAGGATACAGGCGTCAGTCACCTGGGTGGGGAACCAAGCCCTGCTTGACCATCCTTTCCAGGAAAGGTCCCTGTTCTTTCCGTGCACACTTGCTAAGGGACTTGCTTCCCCGCTGGATCAGTCCTACCTGAGCAACCACACTTACAAGCTCATTGGATGACCACAGTTTTGTCCCACCTTGTGACTTTGTACCGCCTCGTGATTTTGCCCTATAACGCCTCCCCGTAAGTGGAGTCCGTGGCAATCTGCTTTCCGGGTCGCCCTCTGTCTCACTTAGACAGAAGCTATCTTTCCTCCATAAATATCTCCTCCTCTTAACCTCTGTTCTTGGAATCCATCCTTTGATTTAGGGGAACACAAACTTGGCATATCGGACATCTAACAGGTTGGGAGTTATAGTTCTCTTACATTATTTGGATTATTTGGAGGTCCCCTGTCATCCCTCTGTCACCAGCACCCCCGACCTCCTCTCTTGCTGTATTCCTCACACCCTACTGTGATTGCTGTTACCCAGGGGCTGTGGCTTGTTTAGCTTTTTATGCCTTACATGCCCCATCCAGACCTGGAAGTAAGTAGATGTCAGGAAGTGGGTAGTGAGTGACTGAGCGGCCGCCAACCATACCCATGCAGACACTCGGCCAAGTCACTGTTCTGGCCCGAGGTCACCCACAGGGACGTGGAGTGACTGTCCATCATGTGTGGCTCTCAAAACCAGTGATTCTACCACATTGCTTATTTATCCAAAGAGTTAAGAGTTTGGTTCTCATTTAAATTAAGAAATATTTATCTGCAAATGTTTTTCTCTATGTAATATAGATGCTATAGACTATGTGCTATTTAAACATATAAATATCCTACTCTTCTGCTTTGTCTTTCTTTCTTTTCTTTCTCTTTCTTTCTTTCATTTTTTTTTGAAACAGGCTCTTGCTATGTAGCCCAGGTTGACCTCACAGCAAACCTCCTGCCTCAGCCTCCCGAGCACTGGGATTACAGGCGTATGTCACCACGCCTGGCTGCATTTATTTATTTATTTATTTATTTATTTATTGCCTTTTTGAGACAGGGTCTCGCTATGCAGTCCAGGCTGGACCTGAGCTCACTTTGTAGCCCAGGCTGGCCTTGAATTCACAAGGATCCTCCTGCCTCACCCTCCTGACTGCTGGGATTACAGGCGTGAGCCACCATGCCTGGCTGCTTTTATTTCTCACCTGCATAGGATTGGTGTGTTTTCATGGCAATACATGAAGGTCTAGTTGGTCCTTTACACTACTGCCTCTCCTCCTGCCTTACACGACCTGGCACAGGATTCTGTGTGAAGGATGCACTATGATTGATTTCAGCAAACTCCTTCTGGCAGACATTTAAGTCGTTTCCACTTTTAGCTACAATGCTACAGTGACTATCACCATCCTTAGGTCTTCCCACACTTGCCTCATTCTTTCTCTACAGTTCAACCCTAGAGGGAGACTTCCCAGGTTGAGGGAGATACATATCCAAATGTGATACACTGGGCTCACTCTTGAGTGAGTTTTTAGGGAGGAGTCTGTCCAGCTCGGAGCGGAGTAAGGCCAGCGGCCAGCCGGACCTACTGCCAACTTGCTGTGTGGCCCTGGGTAAGTCATTCTCCTTCTCTGGTCCTGTGCTGCCAGTAAGATAAGGAAGTGCGCCGCGGAGATAGCTCAGCGGCACAAGCGCCTGCCTGGCAAACACAAGGTCCTTTCTTCCCAGTAGGAAAAAAAAAAAAAGATAAGGCAGTGCTCTCTGAGGGTTGTTGCAGCTTGAGTGTCTGGTGGTTCTGCCAGGTCCAGTGGCAGGGGAGACTCAGGGCTGGTTACAAGATGAAGGGGCAGAATCCGGGCGCGGTGGCGCACGCCTGTAATCCCAGCACTCAGGAGGCTGAGGCAGGAGGATCCTTGTGAGTTTGAGGCCAGCCAGGGCTACAAAGTGAGCTCAAGGCCAGCCTGAACTGCATAGTGAGACCCTGTCTCAAAGACAAAAAAAAAAAAAAAAGAAGATGAAGGGGCAGGAGCTTACCCTGAAGTGGGTGCCAGAGATGGGGCCTGGGGTGACCTGCTTCCACTCCTCGGAGCCTTCTTCCTGGACACTGAGGCAGTAACCCGTGATTGGCCCAGCCCCCGTGTAAATCGGGGGCTCCCACTGCAGCATCAAGGAGGTGGCCCGCACTTCGGACACCTGCACGTCATACGGGGGGCCTGTGGGGGACGACGGATGGCAGAGATGTCAGAGCAGGACAGCCAGGCAACCAGCCAGACAGTTGGCAGCTGGGCGTCGGGCTGGGCGGTCAGTCAGCAAGTTGGTTAATCTGTTCATCACCACCAGACCTGCAAGGGCCTGCTCCGGGCACAGTGGGGACCTGGCCAGCCTTGGCTTTGTGACAAAGCTGGGTGCTGGGGCTAAAGTGCGGTTAACTCCTCAAAATGCACGCAGCGTCACCTCCATCTGATCTGGCAGCTTCCCCAACCCTCCCCATGGTCCTTCTAACATCGTGACCGTTTCAGTGTTTACTGGAGGGGCGCAGGTGTGCCTCCCAGGGCCTGACTGCCGGGGATTAGGTCCCCAGCCTTCCTTCCCAGCAAGGGGGACTCTGGAGGAGTTACTGAACCTCCACAGTCCTGTTTCCTCACCTGTAAAATGGGAAGGTAATAGCCCTCACAGTGCTGCTGTGAGCATTAGTGAGGACACCTGCGGGAGTGTCTGCTGCGTAAGTCAGTACCTGATAGATATGCACTGTTCGTGACTGCTCCTCCTGAAAGCACCACATATTGTAATCACCTGGCCCCAGGAGAAGGTTTCATGCAGAAAACAGAACGGAGCTGAACAGCATGATAGACACTGTGGTTGTTCCTTCCTTGGGGGAGGTGAGGGGCGCATGGTGGGGGTTACAGTCACAGTGCGTGGTGGGGACTCCCGGGGAGGGGACTCCCGGAATGCATGAGCTTCAGTGGTATCCTGGACAAGTCCCAGGTGGACCAGGGTGGACCTTGCCGGGCGGCCTTGGCGTGCACGGCGGGTACCTGGGGGCGGAATCAGAGCTCGGGTGGTGTGTCGAGTTGGGGGTGGTCGGAGCTGGGGTGCAGGCCCAGGAGGAGGCCAGGCATTGTGTTTGGCAGGCTCGGAACAGTCTCCGTCAGGGACGCCGAGGTTAGTCTGCGGCAGGGTCGGGGCCTGGGGTCCAGGCCAACCGAGCAAGACTGAACGCACAGGGGCCGCCACACGGGTCGTCTCTCTGGTGTAAGGCGGGGAGGGCAGGCGGGGCAGCCCGGAGCGCAGCCCTCGGGCCTCACCTGGCTGGGGCATTGTCCACTCTTTGCATTCAAATAGGCTGCTGGGTGCCGACAGCTCACCAACGCCTGCCCAGTTTACTGCCCGGGCACGGAATTCATAGAAGTGGCCTTCATGGAGGTTGCAGACCTGGAGGAACGGAAAGACAGGCCAGACGGCTGCGGCTGGGAAGAGGTGCTCTGTGTGTGTGTGTGTGTGTGCGCGTGCTCCTCAGGGCCTCCTCCCTCCAGCACTGGGGACTGAATCCGGGGCCTTTGCCCTGAGCTCCATTCCCAGCCCTATTTATTTATTTATTTATTTATATTATGAGACAGCGTCTTGCTAAATTGTTAAATTGTCCAGGCTGGTCTGGACAACCCTCCTGTTTTAGCCTCTCACAGGGGGCTGCGATTACAGGCATGTGCCACCACACCTGGTTCTCAGGGGCTTTATTTTACTTTATTTTATTTTATTTTATTTTATTTTATTTTATCTTTGTCTTTTTGAGACAGGGTCTTGCTATGCAGCTTAGGTTGGCCTTGAATTCACTTTGTAGCCCAGGCTGGTCTTGAACTTGCAAGGATCCTCTTGCCTCAGCCTCCTGAGTGCTGGGATTACAGGCATGCGCCACCACACCCGGTCTTCTCGAGCACTGGGGACTGAACAGGGCCTTTAAACAGGGCCTCGGAAATGGTCTGTGCTTGAACTCAGTTGGACGGTGGCAGCAGGGGAATTTGAGGCTGCACACGTGCCTGGAGGCCTCCCGCAGTGTCCTCCGTGTCCCCTCGCACACACAGCAGTGACATGAGCCCACTGCCACACTCCTGCTCACCTTGCAGACCCGACTGGGGACCGGCTGCTGGTTGACTGGGTGCCAGTCTGGCTCTGCCGCGTCGTGCTGGTCCAGGAAGTAGCCCAGGATCTTGCCGCCTCCACGACGCTTGGGGGGTTTCCACCCGATGACCATTTCATTCTTCCCGCAGTGCAGGAGAGCAAAATCATACGGAGCTGATGGGGTGGCTGCGGGAGGCAAGGAGGCAGGCAGCTGCTCCCAGGGCAGTGGGGTCCGAGGGAGCCCGTGAGTGCCCCCTGGTGGATGCCCACCCTGCCCCAGGGGGTCCACCCTGAGCCAGCAGCATCTTCCCTGAACGCATCTGGGTTGATGCGGTCCATGAGCCGGGCCCCTGCCCAGCCCCGGATGCCCCAGAGGGTCGCGAGCTAGACCCGCTGGGAACTCACCCAGTGCCTGCTTGACCCTGATGGGCTCCGTGGGGGCTGAGCTCTCACCCACACCGGCCTCACTGACCGACCTGACGCAAAACTCGTACTCCTTCCCGGTCCTCAGCCCTGGAACTGCAAACCTGGGAGAGAAAGGTACAGCTTTCAGGGGCGGCCAAACAGTCCAGAGACTTCCTGAACCCTGTGGGCTAAGTGATTACCAATGCGAGGGGGTTTGGGGGCCCTGGCCCATTCTTCCCTAAAAATATCGCCCCCAGCCCCATAGCGGTGCCTGAACGGGCTCCATGGAGGCTGTCATCCTTAAGGATGTAATGGATGCCTGCTCTTCCGAGGACCACTGTCAAAGTGCAAATGCTGTACCCTGAAAAAGCCACCAACTTAGGGTCCAGGCTGCCCACCCTCGGCCCAGAGCTACCTGTACATCTTCAGAGCTTTGGGTTTTGATCTTGAACAAGAACAAGTGGCTGATAGAATTTGCAATATTGCTATAATTCATAAACACAGAGTCCTTCCAAAGACCCCGGCATGAACTGTCTCCCGGACACATACAAGGACGCTCTGGTTTGGAGAAAACCGTCCTTTTCCTCCTGTCCCTTTGTGATAATGCCCAGAGTGTGGTCCTCTTTCTCCTTTTTCCCTTATCCACATTTTCCTGCAGCAGATCTGGTCCTGCAGGGGCTCCTCCAATCCACGGTCACCCCTATCCCCAGACTTCCGCAGAGAACAAGCCCTCGGCAAGTGTGTGTCAAAAGAAACCATCTGGGGCCAAGTCCCTGTTCCTCCTCTTTGTAGTTATGGGAGTTTTGGGCAAGATGCTTAATCTCTCTGTGCCTCAGTTCCTCCTTCTGTAAAATGATACTAAAAGCAATCATCCTAACTGTGCCTGGCGGTCCACGTCTATAATCCCAGCACTCTGGGAAGCTGATGCAGGAAGATCACAAGTTTGAGCCCAGTCTGGGAAATTAAGGGCTTTAGTGAGAATCTGTCTCAAAATGAAGGATAAAAGGTGTGTGGGGGGGTATGGCTCAGTGTGAAGGCCCTGGGTTTAATCCTTAGTACCACAAACAAACAAACACAACCCTCCCAAATCATTCAAACTGAGGACTGCAGTCAGAGCTAGAAGACCAGGGCTTAGCGTACAGCTGTGACGCGGTGGGCCGGGCGCCTGCTGTGAGCAGGGTGGGACAGACTCACCTGCTGCCCTGGATGGGTTTGTTGTTGACCGTCTGCCACTCGGATGATCCTGCCTCCCGGGAGTAGATGTAATATCCCAGGAGTTCAGCACCACCACACACAGGCTCCCAGGTCAGGCACACAGAGGTCTGCGTGTCCCGGAAAGCTTGAACTTGAGCCGGAGGAGGCAGAGTAGCTGAAACACAGAAACACAGGAGAGAGACACCGCGTTAGCGTTAAGGCCCTGGCAGGCTGGCGGTGGGGTTGTGGGGAGAGGCAGGGGGAGGAGGCCCACAGTGGTCCAGGGCGTCACATGGACTTCAGCCTTGCCCAGGGAATTTGGGTCTGACTTCCCAGGCCCCAAAAAGCACCTGGGACTCTCCTATCTTAGAAGTCCTCTCCTCTGTGGCTACCGAGCATCTCTGCTTCCTCACTCAAACACCAGCGCCCCACCTCCTGGAGTCCTACAGTCTCTCTCAGACGTGACAAAATCTGACAGCTTTCCTCAGTCCTTACCTTTAATCTCAAGGAAACTTGATTTTCTTTTTTTGAAATTTCTCTATTGATTTTCATGGTTCCTAGATGCTAAGCTCCTTGATTTGGGGCTGCCATATTTGTCAGTGGATAGACGGCTGGCTGGTTGGATGGGTAGATGAGTGGATGGATGGATGGATGGATGAATAGATAGATGGACAGATGATGGTCGGATGAATGGTTGGTTGGATGGCTGGCTGGATGCGTGGAAGGCAGGTTCACAATCTTTCTAGTCCTTTCTTTACATTTCAATTTCCTTACACATCATTTGTTGGATCCCTATCTTCCTTTTGGTACAAATGTGGGACTCCAAAAAATGTGGGGCTCCTCTAATATTTTTTCTTGACTTACTCCATTTTTCTTCTCCCATCTTTTTCCTGCTGGCTTCATATCCCACCCCCCCTGCGCACTTGGTACCTGTCTTGCTTCTCAGGGCGATGGGCTCGCTGGGTTCCGAGGGGTCGCTCATGCCATATTGGTTCACAGCCCGCACTCTGAAGACGTATGACTTCCCTTTCTCCAGGTTCAGGAGGGCAAACCTTGGAGATTTCACTGGAGTTTCTGAGCTGATGGCCTCCCAGCTGCCACTCCCTATGACCGACTGGAGGGAAAGAGGAAGTGGCATCAGCGAAGCGGTTGCTAGGTGAGACCCTCACCCGCACTGTTTTCGTGATCTTCTCCCCAGACAGGCTGCCCCAAGCCCTGGTCCCTCTGCTTCCTAACCTGTCTCTTGAGCCCAGCATGTAGCCCGTCTAGCACTCAGCCCCGGGCCTCCTCACGTCTGTGCTCCCTCCAGGTACTTGTGTGGACCAAACTTCCAGTGGCCCAGGCCCAGACCCTGGGACCCAACTGTGGCTCTTTCCTTCACACCCCAAATGCACTCCCTTCAACAGATCCAACTTGTGCCTCCTTTGAAATGTACCCAAACCACACAATCCAGTACTTTGGGAGGCTGAGGCGGGAGGATTGTAGTAAGTTGTAGCCTGGATCGCGTAGTGAAACCCTGTCTCAAAATTAAAAAATAAAAAAGGGCTGGGGATATAGCTCAGGGCAAAGGCCCTGGACTCAATTCCTAATGTTGGACAAAGAAAAAAAGAAAAAAACAGAAAATGTGTCCAGAATCTAACATGACTTAACCTTTTGCGCTTCCTACCCTATCCTTGACCCAAGCCGGCATTATGTCACCTGAATTGAGTCTTTCTACCTGTAATTCCTTTTAGTTTTTTCTTAAGGGGCTGCCAGAGGGATCCTTTTTTTTTTTGTTGTCTTTTTGAGACAGGGTCTCGCTATGCAGTTCAGGCTGGACTTGAGCTCACTTTGTAGCCCAGGCTAGCCTCGAACTTGGAAGGATCCTCCTGCCTCAGCCTCCCGAGTGCTGGAATTACAGGTGTGCGCCACCATGCCCAGCTAACTGTTGTTATTGTTGTCTGTGTTGCTTAAATTGTGTGTATTTCATGAACAGCCTCAAGCACTGCTAGCACAAGTAACTAGCTCCTTGGGTGACCACAGAGGGCGGTTTAGATCCCACCCTGCCTCTGTGCAGGGCTGTGCTCGGGCCCTTCCAGGCAGGGATTCTCTGGGGTTTCTCAGCACTCTGCACTTCCCCGGGCCTGGGGCCCACAGCGTGTCTGCTTCTCAGGCTGTGCTGGGCTGGTCCTTGGGGTCTCCTACCTTCTCCAGGGTGTAAGTCAGTGGGGCTTTGCCCCGGGGCTTTGGTTCTTCCCAGCTCAGAACCACATAGGCCTCCCGGATCTCGCTGGCGTGGACATTGGTTGGGGGTGAGGGGATGGTCACAGCATCTGGAATCAGAATCATCGGGGCGGAGATGGGTGAGCCCCTAATCTCAGGTCCTCGTTTCACAGAGGGGGGTCTGGGGCCTGGAGAGAAGCAGGAACTTGCTCCAGGTCACCCTGCAGGGCCAGGAAAACCTGGTGCCCTTGGTGTTCCGATGACCTGCCCAGGGATTCCCCATAGGCCACCTCCCTCCACCAGCAACACAGCCAGGGGCCGCAGTGACCCCAGTACCCAGGCCTCCTCCCACTGCACCCTCCCACCCCTGGACCCCAAATGTGGACAGCATTGTGTTTTGCCCGTCTGTCCCACCATTTCCAGAACTGTTCAGGAGCTGGCTGGAGGCGCAGTGCTGGGCGAAGTCAGGCCTACCTTCAAAGTCGTCTGCGCTGATGGTGATCTTGCTGCCCAGGTCAAAGGGAATCTCTAGGAAGGAGGGTGGAGCGTGTGGGTGCGGAGCAAGGGTGAGCCAGGCCTGTCTCACCTCGCGCCCTGAATCCTGCCTGCGTGTCCTGGCCTGGTGGCCCTCACAGTGTGCTCTCTGGGTCCAGCTTTCTCAGGAGTCCAAAGCGGAGCCCTGCTGTGTTCAACTCTGAGACATGCTCTGTCTATGCGGCAAGTGGGGGCAGGAGGAGTGATGTGCGTGGGCACGCTGGTGCCAGTGGCAAACCTAAGCCAGGGTGACCCTTAACACCTGGGAGAAACGTGTCCCCACATTTCCCCCGGACTGGGGCCCCTGAGGGCAGGACTGTCTGCTCCATCAGACTGCGGGCATCTGCGGAAGACGCTGTGGTCCCCCCTCAGACTGGTGTCCCCAGTGGACATCAGACCTTCTCCTCAGGCTAAGGACAGGATTGTGTCTCCTCCATTAGACGGGGGCTTCCTGAGGGCTGGGCTGTGCCATCTGTCTCCCGTGTGAGGCAGTCTTGCATGCAACCTGCCGGATGCTCTAGAATGTCCCTTCAGGGGCTCTGTACTCACCTGTCTTCCTACGGACTGCATCATGGTCACCCATGACAACGACTTCTGAGGCCTTGGAGGGGAGGCTGCTGCCCGCCTTGCTAATGGCTCGCACACGGAATCGGTAGCTCTGGCCTTCAATGAGGCCTTGGATCGGGCACCGGCAGGTGCTCCTGGGGGCCTCATGGCAAGGTACCCACTCCTTGGAGTCGCCCTGGCACCTGTGGGAGACAGGTCTTGGCTTTTAGCCCCTGCCCACGCCCCGCACCTCCCCGCTTGAGCTTCTGTAGGTTCCACTGACTGATTGGGACAGCCTAGCCTGCTGCCTCTTCTCTGCTGATTAAAGTGCTGGCTCCAGCCCTGGCCTTGGCCTGGGAGGCCTCTTCCGCATGCCCGCATCATGCTGATCTGGGTAGGCAGTGCCTCTCATGGAGTTTTGCTGCTGGGGGCTGTGCCCTCTGTCCGTATCATCTCATCCTCTCAACAGCCCCAGGAGTTGAGTGTCCCTTCTGTCCCTCCCCAAGTGGGTCATCTGCTGCCAGAGTGAGAGGACCTGAGGCAGAATTTCCCTGAGGGCCACCCACCTCCTAAGCCAGTGACAACAACCTTTTAGAGCTTACAAGGATAACAAACAGCCACCACCGCCTTACTCGAAGCACCTTGCAGACTGGCCCTCCAGGCCTGGCTTCTGTCTTATCAGTACCATTGCCCTCAGCGGTCGGACAGCGCGTGTACCTTTTTGGCCTGGTACTGCCTCCACCACTATGTGACTTCGGATAAGGCCGTCTTCCTAGGTCCCTCAGTTTCCTCATCTGGTTTTTTTTTTTTTTTTGGTACCTAGAATCAAACTCAGGACCTCGTGCTTGCCAGGTAGGCACTTGGGCCACTGAGCTATATTCCTGGCCCTAGTTTCCTCATCTGAAGAAAGTCCCACTCTCCTTTACACAGAAGCTCTTGTGAATCGAGTAATCTCTCCATCAGGGGCTTCTTGGCCTGTCCTCCCCTTCTTACCCCGTCTTCTTTCCAGGTCTGACACGGGGGAAGAGCAAACAAGTTCACAGCTCAGCCTTCAGACACTGCATTGCCCCAGAATTCCAGGAATCAGTGTGACAACAATTTGGAGGCATGGATACCCCTAAGTCGTACAACACAGGCAGCCGCCTGCCCTGTCCTCAGCAGTGGAGATGGGGGGTCCCCAAGGCCAGGCGTGGGCTCTTTCCTGTGGTTCCACTCTTGTGCTTCCTTACAGCCGGGCAGAATGCCGCTGCCGAGGCCAACTCACCGCTCGATGGAGTAGCCGGTGATGGGGTTGCCCCGGGTATCGCTGGGTGGGGCCCAGGTCAGGGTGAGGCAGTCTCTGCTCACATCCAGGCACCGGACGTTCAGCGGGGAGCCGGGGGCCCCTGGATTCTCAGCGGCAGCATCTGAAGCCGGGGTGTGTGTAGGGTGCCCTCAGTCAGTGTCCATTTGGTGACCAGCCCCTCCCACCCCCTCTGCTGCCCAGTATCTGCTTCTCCTGAGTCCTCCTGGGGCTCAGTTTTGACCTTGAGGACCAGGGGCCTGAATGATAGCCTCTGTATGCCCACCCCCACAGCCACATCTCAGGGAAGGAGCAATAGTGCCATTTATCGGAGGCCCATTTTCCATAAGCACCCGAACAACGGGCAGAATTAATCTCTGAGCCCCAGAGCAAGCTCCGCTTTGTAGACGGGGAAGCTGAGCTTTGGAGGTCACATGCCTAAGGTCACCCAGGCAGCACAGTGACCAAGCAAGGATCTGAACCCCAGCCAGTGACCAGAACCATCTAACCCTACCGCTGCCTGGGCTGGGTCCTTTTAGTGAATCATAGGGTGCTACAGGGGTTCTTAGAGAGACTCTAACCCAACATCCCCACTTTAGAGTGCCACACAGATGCCAAGAGCTCAGGGGGCCTGGCCGAGGGCCCACAGCAAGTCAAGTGCAGAGCTCTGCTCTCTGTGCCCTGACGGTCATCTCCCACCGCTCCTCACCTCTCACAAACACATAGGCGCTCTGCTCGCGGGGCCCGAGGGCTGAGGGCACCCGGATGCTGTATAGCCCCTCGTCCTCCTTGTAGGCGCAGGTCACTTTCAGGGAGGCCTGACGGTCTGCGTAGAGCATTTGCCTGCGTCCCGAGGACCTCAGCGCTCTGCCTGCAGAGGATGAGGGGGTTCCCTTGTGAGCTGGTAGGGAGGATCCTGGCCTCCCCTTTGGGGGCGCTCTGGGGGTCTGGAGCCCTGGCTGGGAAGAGAAAGAGAGGGCTGCTGGAGGGGCAGCCTGAGGCTCAGCTTGGGGTGGGGACCTCTGGGCCCTGCCAAGGTAGCAGCCCCGCTCTCCTGTGCGGAAAGCTGGGGGCGGGGCGGGGTTGGGGCTCAAGGAGACAGCGGAGGGTTAAGGAAGCGGTGGGGAAGATGGGAAGCTGGGGTCCTGCGAGGAAGAGCGACCGGGCCCTGCCTGAGGCTGCAGGCTCGGTGAAGGTGAGTGGGCTCAGCGGGTGGGGCTGTGAGTTTAACGGGGAGGTGGGAGGTCAGTAAAGTGGTCCACATCTAACTGGGACCGCTGGGGTCTCAGGGAGGAGGGCGGAGGGCTGGGTGAAGGGCAGAGCTCAGTGACCAGAGAGTCGGTGTGATGTGAAAAGGCCCCGCTCCAGGGGGCGCTCTGTCAGCCCCCTTGGTGAGCCGCTCTTCCCCGTCACACATGGGGCTCCTCCTCCTCTCAGCGCCTCTCATCTGGAGGACCTGCAGGTGTGGGGAAACCTCCAGGGCAGGGCAGGCATTGCTTGGGTTCCTACGGCTTCTCCTCCCCACCCCCGCCTCCTGCAGTGCAGCCTCCCTGGACTCAGAGCTGGGGTGCTGCAGGCGTGTCTCACAGTAGGGTCCTTCCCTCCCAGGGCTGCCTGTTCCAGCTGCTCCGTGCCGTCCCCAGGAAGGGCCTGCGCACTGACTCTGAGAGCCCTGAGCGAGCACACAGCCCGCCCTGAGCGCCTGCGGGGCTCTCCTGACCCCTGGCCTTGGCCTCCGGTCCCCTTGCTTTGAATGCTGCTGCTCCCTCTAGAGTGGTGACAGTGCAGGCAGAGGACCCAGCCAGTACCCAACCGCACATCCACGGGCAGGGCTCAGGCAGCAGCTATCATGGTGCTGATGGCTTCCTTCCACCTCGAAGACAGATGGACAGCTCTGCAGCTCATGTCTCCACCCACGCTGCCCAGGCCCCAGCACAGGGCCTGGCACCCTGCAGATGCTTGGTGACCACACCGGGCTGTGCTGCCACCACCTGGCTCTGTAGCACAGACAGTGCAGCTGGTGCTGGCCTGGGAGGGACTGTGCTGAATCCCATGCAGGTCCCAGGCTTAGGGATGGACCCAGGGCTCTCTCTGGCTTTCAGCTGAGGAGCTTGAGCGTGGGTCGGATATTGGCCCCTGAGGGCCAGGGGCCAGAACCAGGGTCCTCACCGTCTCGGAACCACTGGATCTTGTGCTCGGCATCCAGCACATCATCGGAAAAGAAGCAGGACAGGGAGAAAGGCTCCTTCTCACGGGCAAAGATAGGCTGCAGCACCGATGTGAACTCCACGCTGGGGCCTAACATTGATCCTGAGGTTGAACAGAAATTGAGGGCAGGAGTCTTCTGAGATACCAGGGGCCGAGAGGGGAGTGAGGACCTGCCTGGCATCCCCTTCCTCAGGATCAGGATTCCAGGGGTGGTGTTGACAAGGACAGGGGCCTGGCCCTGGCGGGTGGAAGGATGAGCTTGTCTAGGTGGGAATCAGGTGAGCTAGAACAGCAAACGCCCCAAGGCCAAGCTCATTGTCTTCTGCCTTGCAGCCCAGTTTTGGTCAGGGGACTGCTCAGTGGCTGGGGGCTGCTCTGACCTCAGTCTCAGAACAGCTGGTAAACGTCATCCCCCAGGGGACAGCCCCTTGTGGGCAAGGTGGCTCTAATCTGAAAAGCACTATGTGAGGCCAAATCCTGTACAAGGAGACTCAGATGTCCCCTGAAGCCCCATCCCTGCCCGGCCCACTTACTTTTAAAGATCTCTGAATCAAAGCCGGCCTCCTTCCCCAGGTAAGCTGGAAATGCAAAGCAAACGGAATCAGAGAGGGTTCAGACTCCACATCCCTACTACGTCTTGGGGGCGAGGGCCTTGGCAGGCCTAGTCTGCCAGTAGCTTCTGCCTTTACCTCTCTGTACCTCAGTTTCTTTATCAGTAAAATGGGGACATTAATTCCTACCTAATGGTATTTGGTTATGAATGAATGAAGCCACGAGAATAAAGCCCTCAACCAGAACCTGGCCCCGAGGTACATGTGGGTTTCCTGCTCTGCCCCAGCTGGTTCCCAGGATCACACAGTCTCCCAGAGGTGGGGCCTGGTCAGAGACGCTGGGATTTCCGGTGGGACTGGCAGCGGTACAGCACCCGGAGGGATGAAATTGCTCGCACGGTGCTTACGCCGTGAGTTGCAGGTGAGCTCCATCACTCCTCACAGCTGCCCTGCCTCCGGTGCCGCGACTATCTTCTCATAATGACGGGGAGACTGAGGCACAGTCACCCAGTGAACCTCAGCAGCCTCAAGCCACGAGGTGACCCTGGTCCCCGGAAAGGCTCTTCCTGGGGGAGCCCCTAAGGAGGCTACCTCAGTCGCGCAGGGAGCCCGTGGAAGGCAGCGTTAAGACCTAGGGCTCCTGCTGGCTCAGGCCCCTGAAGTTGCCCTGGGGAAGGCAGCAGGGGAGAGGGTGGTGAGTGGCGCCCTCCGTGGGGGTTTGGCTGAGTGTGACTGGCATTGCCGGCTTTGATGGAGCGAGGGACAACAGAGATCTGGCTGAAGGGAAGGGAAGGCGGGTGACAGAGAGCGGCGGGGCCTGAGTCTGACCTTAGGCTTGACTCTCTGCACAGCCTATGGAGCAGCTCAAGTTTCCACTCAGAGGCCGCCTGGCAGCAGCCTCCCACCAGCTATTTGGGGAACAGGGCCGAGGGTGAGGAGGACAGCAAAGGACGGTGTAACAAAGTCTGTGAGAGGCAGGGCTGGTCTCAGCCTGGCTGCTGCCCGGGACAGCTGCCCTGGGACAGTGTGTGTGTGTGTGTGTGTGTGTGTGTGTGTGTGTGTATGTGCGCACGTTTCCCAGGGTGCAGGACTGTGCCCACTGGACAGTGGGCTGGCTGGGTCATAGAGAGGAAGGCGAAGTTATCCTTTCCTGAGTGCTTCCTGTGTGCCTGGCTGAATCTGCACGTCTCATGTAATCAGCAGGAGCATCTGAGGGTGGCGGTGGGACCAGAGAAGAGATAGGCCACACACAGCCAGCCAGGGCAGAGGCAAGAGGGGACTCACCTCTGGCTGACACTTGGGGACCTGTGCCATGCTATCCATGTCCAACTGGGAGATACACACCAGACGCCAGAGGGGCAGTGGGGGCAGGTGGGGAGGTGGCAGGGCTTGGCCTTTGCCCCTGAGGACCCTTGGCAGGGTTGGCAGGGCCAGACCATCCTTTCAGAGGTCCTTGGCTAGATCTGGCCCCAAGTCCGACTTGGAGGGACAAGCAGGTTCTTTGGACACAGGCAGCGGGGTCACCTTGGTCAGCTGCGTAGGTTGTGCTCTGCACAAAGGTGTCCCCTGAGAGGGCTGGTGGGGGCTGAACCCAGGCTGTTTGCGCTTGTCAGGTCACGTGGCCTAGCATGGGAAGTGTCCACTTGCAGGAGAGGGTTCCTTTTTCTGGTTCACCCACCCGGGTGATGCAAAGATGCCATTGAGGCCAGCGATGAGCTCAGACACAGCCCGGGTCCAGACCAGCTCAGGATGCACCCAGTGGCTGTCAGCGTGCTTGGCACAGGGGCAGGACTCAGAAAAGACAGTCTCCTTCTTCTTTCTCCTCAGTTCCCTTCCTCTTCCTTTCCCCGGTGGCTCCTGACCCCGCCCCCTGGGCAGAGGTTCCTGCTGCACAAATCTCACGTCATCAGCATCCACACCAGCTCTGCTGCCCACGGGGTCTGATGGAGGAGGCTGTGGGCTCCGAGGCCCCAGGGATATGCACTTCCTTGGCTGGCGCCCCCCCCCCCCCCCGCTCAGCAGCCCTGGGCCCTGGATCTGACCGCCCAGCCGAGTCTCCATCCGCTTGTGGCAGCTTTGCTAGGGCCTAGCCTGGCCTGGTGCGAACGTGCGGACTTACTGCGGACAAGGACTTTGGCGAAGGAGGAGGCCTGGCCGAAGGCGTTCTTCACCTTCACCGTGTAGGTGGCTGAGTCCTCCAAGGTGCATCTGCAAAGGACGGCAGGTGAAGCCCTCTGCACTGAAGGGCTCCATGGGAAAGGCGGGCCCCTCTCTGAGATGGGAAATGCTGGCATGACCGGAAGCCCCCAGTGGAAAGTGCTTTGAAAATATCCTGTGTCAGAGAGTCATGTTCTTACTGACTTTGGAGGGTCAGAGAAGTAAAGCGACTTGCCCTGAGTCACATAGCAACTGGAATTCAGCACGGCCTCAAGGTGGCAAGCCCTCTCCAGGCACGGCCTCCTACCCTAGCGACGTGTCCAAGTAGACGCTCAGAGCTGGGCCTCCTTTCACATGGACATGCTCAGGCATGCTGCCAGCCTGTGCCAGAGCTGGGCTGGATGCCAGGAGTTGTCAGTCTCTGGCCTGCATCTCGCCATCAGCTGTGCCAACCCTGCCCTGTTCCCAGTGGAAGCGTGGCCTGGTTCCACCTTAGCGTACACCTCGGTGCCAGAGAGGACAGGTGTTCCGCACATCTGGCCCCATCAGCAAGCTGAGGCAGCAGGCAGTGGAGCGGGTCACTCCCCGACCCCGGCTGTGCAGCCGGCGGGCACCTCCCTGCTTTTGCCTTGTGTGGCCAGGTGCTTCTGGAGGGAAGGATCCACACGCTGTATGCCTTTGTGCTTTGGAGGCCCGAGTTGGCCAAGGCGGAGGGGGCGGGGCGTTGGAAAGAAGTCAGACCCACGGGACAGGCTCTGCAGTAACTGTGCAAGACCTGCTGCCTTTTGGAGCCTGTTTCAGTGGATTTTTTCTCTTTTTTTAGTACCAGGAATCGAACTCAGGACCTTGAGAGGCAGGCGCTTGTGCCGCTGAGCTGTATGCCCGGCCCCGGAGCCTGTTTCTAACACGGGGATGACCAGGGTCCCCTCTGGCAACGGCAGTGGGCATCGTGGATCTTGTGTGTGTGCAGCTAGCTGGGGGCTTGGCCTGGGAAGAACTCAGTGCAGGCTGCTCAGACGAGTGACGGGTTCTCGGGAGGACTGGACTTGACCGTTCCCACGCAGCCCCCCTCAGTGCACCTGCCTCTCCCTCCAGAATCTGCTTAAGGTGTGCCACCTCCTGAAAGGCCTCTCACTTCTCCCGACTGGTGTGACTGGGTGTGTGTGTGACACACAGATGTGCTTTCTCTTGTCTGTATACCCAGCTCACTATTCTCCTTATTAGCCTGGGGGGTCCAGATTTTTTTTTTTTTTTTGGTCTTTTTGAGACAGGGTCTTGCTCTGCAGTACAGGCTGGTCTTGAGCTCACTTTGTAGCCCAGGCTGGTCTTGAACTCGCAACGATCCTCCTGCCTCAGCCTCCTGAATGCTGGGATTACAGGCGTGCACCACCACGCCTGCTGGACTTCCTATCACATATTCCAGAGCAAGGGTGTCACAGGGTGTGTGTGTCGGGGGCGGTGAAATGCCAGTTCCCTGGCTGTGTTCCAGCTACTGAATCTGAATCCCTGGGGCAGCAGGCAGTGCCCACCTGGAAGCAGTGTTGTAACAAGCACCAGACATACTTCTAAAGATGAGGCAAGCCCAGGGGGAAAAAGCCCAGAGGAAGTTCTCTGACCCCAGTGGCGCTGGGCCTGCGGCCGCTGGCCTCTGGATTCTCAGTCTCACCTCCTGATCTCCAGGGACAGCAGCCCGTAGTTGTTGGTGATTCGGTACTTGCCAGCAGGGAAGAGGCGGGGATCGATGCGCGTGTCATCCTTGTACCTGTGCAGACACAGTGACCGTGGCAGGCAGTGTGGGTCCCAGAGGGAGGGATGTGGAGCTTCTCAGACCAGGCTCCAGCTTAATCTTGGTGCTGTTCCCTCGCCTGTGCCACCCAGGGGTGGCCCCTTCTCTGCTCTGTGCCTCAGCTGCCCTCAGCTGTGGAAAGGACACATACAGCACCCACCTACTGGGGCTGCTGTGCCAAAGAGGATGGCATGAGGCCCTGAAAGCCCATCCCCACCCTGGACACTACGGATGACATAGCTGTAATCCCAGCACTCTGGGAGGCTGAGGCAGGAGGATTGCAACTTTGAGCCCAGGTTGGGCAATTTAGCAATTTAGCAAGACCTGGTCTCAAAACAAAACAAAACAAAAATTTAGGGATGTAGCTCAGTGTGAAGACCTCGGGTTCAATCTCCAGTAACACACACACACACACACACACACACACACACACACACTTCCTTTCTGGAGCCAGAAGAACCCATCCTAGGGGATAGCTGCTTCCCTGCCAGGAGTACTCCAGAAACCAGGCCTCATCTTTGTTCCCTTCTTGCTTATGAGGCAAGGTGCTCCCATCCCTACCTCCTTTACTAACCTCCCAGGAGAGCCGTTTTTCATTTTGGTTCTCATCCAAATACTCCCAGGAGCTTTGAAAATCTCCACGTGGGGCAGAACACTTGCCTACCAGCGCCAGAACCCTCAGCACGGCCAACAAAGAAAAACCAAAAGCCTAACAAAACCCTCCAAGCCTAGTGTTTGAACATGGCCTTGGGGAACCGCCAACTGCCCTCCAATAACAATTCTCCCCTAACTCTGAAGAAACAATTTACCTTTGAGACACCCAATCTATGATGTGTTTCCTTGGGCCTCTTCCTGCGAGGCAGGACAGTGTGACAGTGTGACAAACCGTCTAGCTGCATGTAAGGACAAAAGTATCGCGTGGCTGCTTCACTGACAGGCTCTGCACCCTCGCATGCCCTCCTCCTGAGGCAGGAGTCAGGCTGGACTCCAGGCACTTGTGTGAGAGAAAAATACACTTTCATCTTATTCAAGGTGTTTAAAACAGGCCCCCTCCTTTGTTGTCTACGAACTCGGGATGTTCTTCTCCCTAACGTATGGGTGGCCTGGAGGTCTGCAGGCCTAAGGGGTCAAGGCGGGAAGGAGTGAGTGTCAGTGGAGGTTAGGGGGCCTGGGTCCTTGACACAGCATGCTGTGTGACCTTGGGCAAGTCACTGCCCCTCTCTGGACCCCTGTGTCCCAGAGGCCTTCAATTGGGTGGCTGAGGTTGAAGAAGACCGCGCCCTCCCTTGCCAACAGAGGGTGCCTCAGCCTCAGGGCACTGCCTCCCTTGCTGCTGGTCCCTGGGCCCTGTTTGTCTCCATGGGGACCAAACACAGCCACGCCCACACAGTCCCCCAGCTGCAACTTCTCAGAGTAGGGCTCCAACTAGTCTCCCATGGGAGAGCAGTGCCTAATCTGGGAACCCGATTTCTCCCGCTGTCCGAGCCCTGGGGACCAGGGCCAGGCCCCCAGGCCACACCTGTTTGCAACATTCCTGGCCAGCAGGCCAGCCAGGCACGGCCTTTCCAGGAGGACGCAGCAGCTGCAGCCCTGGGCCCCTCCTGGAGGGCGGAGGCCTCAGCCTCATCCTGCTGTCTGGGTCTGTCTCCCCATTGTGGCCAGGCCTAAGTGGCACCTGGAAATAGAGTAACATTAAAGGGGACATCCCAGAGCCTGGTTCAGAATGGTCCTTATAAAATAAGGAGATTGTTATTGCTTATCTAAATCTTTAGCAGGGTATGGTAGCATACACCTGCAATCCCAGCACTCGGGAGGCCGAGGCGGGAGGATCGCTGCAAGTTTGAGACCAGCCTCAACTACAAAGTAAGCTCAAGGCCAGCCTGAACTGCAGAGCGAGACCCTGTCTCAAAAAGACAAAAAAAAAAAACAAAACAAAACAAAAAACCAGCAACAACAAAAAAACCCTTTTATTTATCTGCCTATATTCTTTTTTGGGGGTGGACACTAGGAATCAAACTCAGGACCTCATGCTTGCCAGGCAGGCGCTGCACCACTGAATTAAATCCCTGGCTCTCCTCTGCCTTTACTCCGACTTTACTTTTAAGGGTGCTAGTCTCAAGAAGCTAACCACACCTTCCTCCTTCTTTCCTTTCCTCCCTCTCTCCCGTTTTCTCTTTTTCTTTTTTCTTTTTCTGGCTTTTGAGACAGGGCCTTGCTATGTAGCCCATGCTGGCCTTGAACTTGTGATCTTCCTGCTTCAGCCTCCCTAGTGCTGGGAATAGACTAGGAGTTAGCACATCCAGGATCTTCCTCTTGGCTGAGTCTCTAGCAGGGCCTGGATGGGAACTCAGGATGCTGACCACAGGACCATCGGGACCCCTGTGGTGGCTGATGGAGTTGCCTTCCAGCTCTGGGACCCCCAGGGCGACCTGTGTCACTGGGACTGGGCCATGGCTTCCCTGCTTTAAGGAATGCTCAGTGCCCTGTTGTAGCAGCCTCCGTGCCGGAGAGGAAACCAGTCCCCTTTCTGAGAGGGGAACAGCAGAGATTCTGAGCAGAGACTCCAGGGCCGTGCTGGAAGCGGTCCTCCTGCCAGAATCAGCCATGCGCGTGTAGGACTGTCTTGGTCCTCCTGGGACTCCAGCACCAGGCACCGAGCCTGGCATACTTCTTTGAATAAGCCCAGCTGGTAGTTACGTATCAATATTTTATTTTTTGTTTGTGTTTTTTGTTTTTTTTTCCGATACTGGTAATTGAACTCATGACCTTGCGCTTGCCAGGCAGGCGCTGTACCACTGAGCTAAATCCCCAGCCCCAAGCCCAGCTGGTAGTGATCAGCCCTGGGGCTGATTCTCTCAACAGGCCTTTCTTACCGCTCTGAGTGCTTCCTCTTTCCCACCCTGGAGCACTCTGTGAACTTTGCAGCTTAATGATCACTCTCGGACTCACTAGAGTGGCCATGTGGAAAGAGTTGTGAGCTTGGAGGCAGAAGCCCTGAGTCTGAATCTTGGTTCACACTGCTGAATGGCCTTAGATAAGTTACACTACCCCTCTGGGCCTTGTTAGTCTTATCTGTGAAATGGGGTAGCAATCCCCCCAGCATGAGTAGCTTTGAGGCTCAAATGAGAGAAAAGTGCTGGGTCAGTGTAAAGTGGCAATAGGCCTTAGACCCCAGGAACTCAGGAAGCTGGCTCCACCATATGGACAATGCACCTCCTTCCGGGATGGGGGCCAGGAGCACCCCATCTCCACCACTCCTGTTCCAGGGACCCCGCCCACCCCAGTTGGGCCTAGCCTAGTTCTTTATGCTCTCAGAAATGACCTTTCCTGCTTTTCTAGCTCATTTCAAGTTCCGAGGGCTTGTGCGCTGTAGCGGTACTAAATCCTCACCACGTGCAAGTGGGACAGGAAGTCTCCCACTCTACAGAACAGGAAACTGAGGCAGACCCAGAAAGGCTGAGATACATGCTTGAGCCCGTACCCTGGGCTAGCAGAGCGAAGGTGGGCCTGCAGGGCTCCCACCTGCGGTCTGAGCTCCCCCTCCCACTAGGACCTGCCCCTCTCCCTCCCCCGCCTCTCGGACACCATCCTCTGTCCCTGCAGCTCAGAGCAGCTGTCTTCGCCTGCCACCACAATCATATTTTTACAAGGCTGGCTCCCTGGGGGGCCCCACGTCCAGCCCCAGACTGGCGGGGAGGTGGCTAAGAATAACCCAGGCCCAAGGCTCCCCAGCAGCTGTCCTTCTCCCTGGGTCAGGCAGAGCTGGGGTCTGTGGCTGTGGCTTTGCTGAGGCAGCCGGTCCTCCTCAGGGAGGACCTTGCAGGCCCAGTGGCTTACCAGGTGACCTGGGGCGGAGGCGAGCCCTGGACGGTGCAGGTCAGCAGGACCGTGGTGTGCTCCCAGACGGCGTGGGAGCGGAGGGGGATCCAGAACCAGGGTCCCCGGCCAGAACACAGCTCCCTCAGCTCCTTGGCCTCCCGCACCTTCTCCTCTGTCTGGAGGCAGGATGGGCATATGTGACTCCTACGAGCCAGGGACCACCTTTCCCCATCTTTGCCTTCACCCCCACATCCCATACCCAGAACCTGGAGTCAGGCCAGTGCAGGCTGAGCCCCTCTCCCTGCCAGCTGAGGGATGGTGCTGCCCAGAGGGCAGGGCATGGGCTGGGGTCAGGGCCTGCCTCTGTCACTGGTAGATGGACCATAGGCAGGGCCTCAGTTTCCTTACCTGTAAAGTGCAGAGGATGGTAATACCCCCATGGGTTGCAGTGAGGATTTTTTTTGTCTTTTTTGAGACAGGGTCTGGCTATGCAGTTCAGGCTGGCCTTGAGCTCACTTTGTAGCCCAGGCTAGTCTCGAACTCGAAAGGATCCTCCTGCCTCAGCCTCCCGAGTGCTGGGATTACAGGCATGCGCCACCACGCCCGGCTTGTAGTGAGAATTAAATGAGTCAATGTGGAGAAACGTGTCAAATAATGACCCAAAAAGCCCATGGCAGTGTGCCTCGGGGAGGGAAGATGGGGAGTGACTTCACACCCCAGCATTCGCTGGAACAGCATTTCCTGAGGACTTTCCGTGCTGTCCGCAAAGGAACACTCACTTCCCAGACCCAGGCTCACTTAATTCCCACCCAGAGGTGTTAGAACCACGTCTGTGTCAGGAGCATGGCGTCCCTCACCCCGGGTCACACCGCAGAGGGTGGGGTGCCGGGGCTCAGGGCCGGGGCCCTTCCCTGGATGGCTCTGGCTGGGGATGAGCTCGGATGTTAGCCCCCGGGTCCCAGGCCCCGGGCTCCGCGGCCCCTCACCCGCTGCCGCAGCGCCCTCCAGTCGCGCCGCTGGCGCAGCAGCCGGTGCGTGCGCAGGAAGCCGACCTCCGTGCGCTCCCACTCGTTGCCGAAGCGCACCCGCTTCTGCCCGCGCTCCTCCAGCTCCACCGCGGAGGTCTGGCGCCTCAGCTGGGCTTCCCTGCGAGACAGAGGCCATCAGGGCGTGAACAGGGTCAGGACGGCCCTCCTCGGGCCGGGCTCCCCGAAGTTCCCGGGACTCACCAGGACAACTCGGAGGAGGCCGTCAGAGCCAGGGCTGCGGCCAGCGCGTAGTCGGCGGCGCTGAACTGCTGCTCCTCCTCACTGCGCGGGAAAGCGGGAGTTCGTAGCTGTCTGACTGGGGGCTCCCCAAAGCTAGGACTGTATTTTGGGGTGCCGGCTGGCCCGCTAAGCCTCCCCTCTTCAGACGAGGGCCTGCAAGGGGCAAGGCTGTACCTCCCCCGTCAGAGTGGGGTCTTCCGAGGGCTGGGCTGCGCCTCCCTCCTGACTGTCCCCCAAGCTCCCACCTGCTGCGGAAGGTCCGCCTGCGCACCGAGGAGCCCATGTGCAAGCTGTGCTGGCGCTCCTCCTTCCGCTCCTCCTCCTGTCTGTGTTCCAGCCTGTGGACCTGCACAGCCTGGGGGGCCTGGGGCTCCCCGACACTTCCAGGGCCGTGGGGCAAAGTCATGGCTGCGAGATCGACAACCTGCAAGTGCATAGCCGCTCCATCAGTCATTGCTGCCCCCCTTTCTGTGCACCCCTCCCCCTTCCTGTGCACCCCTCCCCACATCTCTGGGAGATTTCGGGGTGAGGGGTTCTCTCTCTAGTGGGGGGGGCAGGAGAAGTGAGGCCCAGAAGGGAGACAGATATGCCCTGGGATAGGGAGGCAGGCTTGGTGCTCTCCTGGCTGAGTGAGCAGGTCTGCTCATCTCTGGGGTCACTGTCTGCCCCACCGCACTATGGGAGACCAGGCATTCCCTTTTCTGGCTTTGCTTCCCAGACCCGAGGGACCGAACACTGATGTCTGATGCTGTGTGTGGAGCTCAGAACAGGCAGGTGGGGGCTGGGGATTTAGCTCAGCGGCACAGCACCTGCCTGGCAAGCGCAAGGTCATGAGTTCAATTCCCGGTACCGGATAAAAACAACAAAAACAAAACAAAACAAAAAAGAACAGGCAGGTGTCCTCAAGGTCCTAGTTTCCCATCCTGGAGACCCCTCCCGCTTTCTGTGTGCTTCCAAGTCCAACTGAGGATGCCACGGGCTGAGGTGCTGTGATCCCAATTCCTCATCCCAGCTTCCAGTGTGTGATCTTGGACTCTGACTTCATTTCCTCATCTGTAAAACAGGCCTACCAACCTTCCAGGGTAGCCGCAAAGGTTAGGTGAATGCCCAGCACTTGGTAATACACAAGTGTTAGATATTAGCATGATTTCTTTCTTAAAAAAAAAAAAAAGCCCTACTGAAAAGTCTACAGGTCAGCTAGAACTTTCACCCTTTGTGCTGAGCAGGAGGGGAAGCCTGGGTGGTTGGCTGCAGGCCATGATTGGCACCAGATGTGCCCAGCTCCACCCCTTCCAACCCGGACCTCTAGATGTGCTCAAGGCCAGGCCTTGGCTGAGACTGGGACACAGTGGGACACATGGGCTTTCCTCTCCTGAGGGAACCACGATGTACGAATCCTCTCCTGTATTCTTGAGGCTCAGGCTTTGCACTGAACTGACCAGGAATCGGGGAGCCTCGGGGAGTGTGGGTGGCCGGCGCACTCGCTGGCTTTGGGTTTGTGTGCTCAGTTCGTGTCAGACCGGGCCTCAGCGTCCCTGCTGGGTCTCTGGGAGCCCCTCCGAGGCCAAGCTCCAGAACGCTGTGGGCTCCCCGAGTGGCGTCACACCTGCTCCGGGGGGGCATCCCGGTGGCAGGGCTCTACCCTGGGAGCAACTTGCCTGGTCTGGGGAAGGGAACAGAAGAGGAGGGACGGCACCTGCTTAGAGTGGCTGTGTGTAGGGGGGGCATGGTCTTCTGACCTGGATGTGGAAATAGCGCCCAGGGGACCCTTTCTGTGATGGAGGGAAGATGATCCCACTGGCCTCCAAGACCCCCTGGCTGGAAGGAGCCTGGTGTGGGGTGGGACGTGGGGGTTTCAGGCTGCTCACCCCTTCCTGCTCCTAACAGTTTGGACACCAGGAAGGACAGCGGATTGCCACAGTGCGGCAGATGACCGAGGATCATCCTTAAAGCTCCTTTGGCCCCTGCTGGGAATCTCAGCGATGGATCAATGGACAGTCACCCTCTTTGGCCTCACTTCTAGTTCCCCCAGTGGGAGAGGGTCTCTCCACACCCCAAGAAATAGCCATCCCCTCATTCCACCCTCTCCTCCTCAGCCCAACAGAACAGCTGCTGGATACCACGCTGGGCGGAGCGCGGCTTCCGTGCCTTCCCAGGACACTGTGGTCCCGGCTCCAGCCGTGGAGGATTAATGTTCCCAGGCATCGGCCGCTGGTTCCCTCCCCCTGCTGCTCCGTCCTGATTAGCACCAGGGCTGGCCTGGCACTCCTCCCTGACCTCGGGGCCTCCAGCAACCAGACCCCCTGGAGCGGATGAGCCATCGATGCTTTTTAAAGCACTGACTGATGTGTGGGATTAAGCAGGGACAAATTTATAGCTTCTGCTGCCCTTTTCCCACAGGACCACAAGAGGTATCCTCTTCCCATAACTCCCTGTGGCCTGCAGGGAAGGGTCGGCACCCCACTCCTCCTGCAGAGACCCCCAGAGAGGCCCCTCCCATCCTCTGGAGGGGGAGAAAAGCCTGAGATTGAGAGACTTGGTGGCCAGGCCCGCCGAGAGCTGGTGGCACAGAAGCTGCCCTGGGTGGCGGAAGCAGAGACATCCTGCCCAGGCGGACTGTGATGGCTGGGGCTGGGGCACACTGCGGCTTCCCCAGCTCCCTAGAGGCTAGGATGACCTGGCCCTGAGGAGCAGAGGCCTCTCCCTTCCTGGCCGGGCCTCCATGAGCTGCCAGTCACCTGGGGCACCGGACCGGACGGAATCCCTTCCGGCTCTGAGTTCTGGGATCCAGGGCTTGGTCCCTCTCTGCTGTGGGGTCAGCAGGTGCGGCCAGCCAGCTCCAACTGTGCCGGACGTGCCAGCTCACCCAGGTCCCTGCGGTGGCTGCTCCACGACTGCCAGGACTCCAGTTCTGGAGGTGCCTCCAATGCCCACAGGTCCTTTCTTTCCCAGCTTTCCCAGCACAGAGGAAGACCCAGAAGACCCCGGTGGGGGAGGCGTTTCTGAGGTCCTCCCCCATTCTCACAAGCACGAGTCTTTTAGGCCCTGTTGCAACACACACACACGCACACACACACACACACACACACACACTCCCCAAGGGGAAGCCAAGGTCTCCCTTTCTCCAAGTGTCCCTTCCTACCCCAATTCCTGGAGACAGATAACTCACAAAGGCAGCTGTGTCCACTCAGGACTCTCTGGGGAGAAATCCTGGTCCCCGAGGGGGAGAGGGTCCTCTGGCTCTTTTTTGCCCTCCGCTCGGCGAGGACAGGGAGGAGAACGCGATCCTGGAGCCGGCACAGTTTTATATATAGCAGTCCTGGGACAGTGTGATGACAATGGATGGAACTATGGCGTGGGTGGGGGCAGGGAGGGCTGTCCTGTCCTTCCAGCACAGCTGGGCAGAGTGACAGGTGGAGCGCCCCCACCCCCTGCTCCTCCCCCGCCCTCTGCTTCGGCCAAGTCTCGCCCCTGTTCAAATGGAGAGTGCAGAGCAGAGGCTCAGGCCCGGCTGGGCGGCAGGAGGACGTGGATGGCTTTCCCAGCTGCGGGGGTTCGGATCTGAGCTCTCCCTCTGGCTGCCTGGGTGCCCTTGGGAAGGAGCGCAGCTTCGCCGGTCTGATTCCCTTTCTGAAAAACAGAGACCATGCATCCTGGCATCTACCCTGTGCCAAGGCGGTGGAGTGTATCTGACAGTGCGTCTTTAGGGCTCATACAGGATCCGTGGCAGGTGGGGAATGGCTGGCATCTCGGCTCTCTACCAACCCAGCAGTTCTGGGCATGACCCCCAGCCCTTCACCACAGGAAGTTAAGGGCAGGAAAGCACCTGGGAGCCATCGGGAAGGAGCCCGTGCTCAGGTCCCAGAGGACTCGGGTCTGGGAATGCTGCTGCTCCCCCGGCTCGGGGCCTCAGGCGGCCCCTGACATTGCCCGGCACACTTCCTAGCGCCTTGGGGACTCCTCACTGGGAGGAGGGGGTGAACACCAGTGAGCCATGCAGCCCAAATCTTATTCTGCACCGTGTCCTTTCCAGCTCCTCTGCTTCTGTACCTTCCCCTGTCCCCACTGCATTCATAGCACTTTTGAGGGAGAACATTTGGTGTGACCTCTCCTCCCCCTCCCCTCCCTTCCCCTCCCCTCCCCCTCC